GATCCCAGGAGCCTGCTCTTGCGCCCATGGTCCCAGAATTTAACAAACGTATGCCTGTCCGCCCCACCTCCGCCCGCGCCGGACCACGGCTTTCCCAAGAGCCCATCGCCAACGCGGAGGTCTGTCGCACCCCACGCCCTGGCTCGGTCTGAGCAGGGTAGTGCCTGGCGCTCCTGGGTCTTAGGCTCTGGAAAGCTCTCAGAGCACCAAAGACAGCGTGGAGGAGTAACGTGGGGCGGGGGCGTGGAGGAGGGTGGCTGAGGCGAGGTCCAGGCCCCGGCTCCCGCTCCGCGGGATCCCTGACTCGCTGTACGCGGTCGGACAAGTCCAAGCTCTCTCCGAGCCAAGTTTCCCTTTTCGCCGCCGCCGCCAGTAAGCTCCGAGCTGGCTCCTGAGCTTCCAGCTCCCCGCTCTGAGGTCTCGCTCAGGGGCAGCGTGGAGAGAGCGCACCGAAGCAGGGACTGAGAGCGTAAAAACGCTCGGTGCTTCCTTCAGGTCAGCCGAGAGGCTGGTGGTGGGAAGCAGGACTATTCTCGCTGGGCTCCAGTCTTCCATCCCATCCCTGGGTGATGACAATTCTCCGTTCATGGTGTTTAAGTGAACCAATGGCAAGAAAGCACCCGAAGCCAGGTCGCCCCGACCGGGCTCCGGGGATCCCCGCACCGCGCACGGGGCAAGGAGCAGAAAGAAGCCAAACCCTAACCCACACCCACACCCGCCAGGCCGCGGAAAACATTTTACTTTAATCAACTGCTACTTCTTCCAGGTGGAAGCATCTCATCTGCCCTCGCGTGGGCACGACTTGAATTTCCCCCAGTTTGTCTTTTTTCCATATCCAAGTTCGCCCTGAAAACAATTCAAAAGAGAAGAAAACGACCCCGGGAGGGTGATGCGCCCCACCTTCCCCTCTCTACTCCTTGGAAGAGAGACGGCAGGTTGGAAATCCGCCCACTGAACAGACGGAGGAAGCCGAACCCTAAGAAGGGCAGCGGGTGGCTCAAGGCCGAGGCCGCAGAGCCAGTCACGAGCCAACTAGAATCGCGGGCCCTGCGGTGTGGCCCGGGGCCCCTTCCTGGCAGTGTGTTGCTCTAGTGCTCTCTGACGCCACGCCGCCGCTGACCCTGACTGTCACAAAGCAGCCCAGTCACTGTGTTGCCGCTGTACCCAGATTCTTGGACCTGACTTGCAAGCAACGGGGCCTGGAATTTCCGTTGTCACTCTGTAAGGCGAGTGGCCCAAGCCAGGCCATTAAGCACAAGTGGGGGGCTCTGAAAACTCAGGAAGAGGAGAGGCGGCCACCCAGGAGGTAAGGAGCCCTAAGTTTCCCTTTCCATGCAGAACATCCTACCGGAGGTTTTAAGCCAGTCCCTTGCCCATCTGGGCCTAGTTTCCTGAAGGAGAAGAGCTGGTGACCTCTGCATCTGCATAAAGCGCATCAGGGTCAAAGGATAGGGAGGAATTTTCCTGGACTCCTTGGATCTCCTCCTTTATATTTACATACCCTTCTGGGCACTTTAAAGCTTGGGAAAGAAGCGGGGGCGGGGAAAGCTGCCTGCGGCTTATAGAGATCACCAGCACTCCTCCCCACCCCCCAAACTTCATATAAAATAGCCCTCCCAGGGGCTGGTTTCTCCACAGGTTTCCGGGATACACGCAGGACTGAGGGCAGACACAAAGCAGATGTAAATCGCCCACCAGTGCCAGCCCACCCCTGTTGGAACAGGAGAACGATTTCCAAAGGGCTGGAACCTACTCAGTAGCTTCCAAATGGTTCTCAGGGGGGTCTGTTACCCCTAAAATCATTAAGTAGCACCTTGCCAGAGAAGAGGCACTGATTTGACCAGAGAAAAGCAAGGACCTAGACACCGAGGGAATCTTTTTGTGTAGTTTTGAACCAAACGGGTAAACTGTCCCAGTTTACTCATTAAATCCTTTCACTCAAATTTTACACCATGCATTCATAGAATCTTCACAGAATTTAGAAATGCATCATTGGAATAAAACATTTATGGACTAGAATCTTTAGGCTCTTTTGTTCATGAATGTCTTAGAATCTTAGGATGCTAACTTTTTGTCTGATGGATAGCAGCAGCAAAGTTTGAGAAATAGGAATCAATTCTAGAAAAATGGGTCCAGAGACAACAAACATTGAGGATCAAGAAATCCTGAGATATGGAGGCTTCTAAGCTTAGTCGTTGGAGCTTAAAAGTAGAGAATCATAAACTCATGGGTCAAATCAAACTCACGGTCAAATCAAAGCCATGACTGATCAAAGTCAAAGAATTATTAGAATTAGATTATTTGAATTAAAGAATTGTCCGATCCAGTACTAACATTTTGGGATTAATGGACAAGAGTGTTGTGGATTTATAGAAACCAAATTTTCCAATCAGACATTCCTAGACAGAAATTCAAATTAAGTAATATATCCTGAAGAGCTGCAAAAATATCTAAAACCTTGGAAGCTGCATCTCCCAGTAGTGGTATAATATTTCCTGGCACAAAATCTTACTTCCAACATCTTAAAATATGAGGAATACATTTTACACTTTGACTAGGAGCTTAAAGTCACAAGAATATAGTCACAAAGAATTTAGACTTCTGGTCATGGAATCTTACTTAGAATTACAGAATGTGAATTCTTTCATTTATGGAATCATGTTAGGATAGTGGTCCAAAATTTGGAAATCTTAATCTTAGAATCTTGGAAATACAGAGAACCACAAAATGAAGTATTATACGATTGATAGGATGTAATCGGTTAAAAGATTTTGAATGTAAACTTGTCTTTTTCGCTTTAGGAAAACACAACTGGATTAAACCTGGATTTTCGCGTCTCTGTTACTTTGCAAGAAGGAAGCTGGGGGTTGCAAAGCCCCACTCCGGTCGTTCTAGCACCTATCAGCTGAGAAGGTCGTCTTGCAAACCGTGCAATGACTTCCACACCCCGGATCGGTGGAGCGAGGATCCGGGCTCTCTGTCTCTTTCTTCCGAAGGCACCTGTCCAAGGCTTGGCGGGGCTGAGCCTGCCCCCAGCTCACCGCCAAGAAAAACGGCTAAAACGCCCGAAGACCGTGCGGCTCGCTCCGCTCCGCCCTGCCCGCACTGCCCCTCGGAAAGCTGCGTCTCGGCAAAAGCTTCTAGGGTCGGCATCAGAGCCCAGAATCCTGAGGGAGCCTCTGAGGTCCAAACGTGCCGTCCAGCTCCCTAATCATAGAGCAAAAAATTGAGGTCCTGGGACGCGGAAGGGACATCCCCAAGGTCTTTTAGCGAAAGACCACGTATCGAACGAACCCTGGCCGGCGGGACGGCGGCTGGCAGGAAGCGAACTCAGAAACCCGACACCCGCGAAGCAAACGGGTCGGGTCAGCCCGCCCCTTCCCGGGAAGACGCGCCCATCCGGAGCACCCCTCGCAGCCCCCACTCCCCCTGAGGAAGGGGCGACTCGGCTGCTCTCGGGGTCTTGGGAGTCGCTTGGAGCTCTCCCCGGCCTGGGCGAACTGGAGGAAGACGTGACAGTGAGAGGCAGAAGCCCAGCCTTCATCCTCTTTAAGCTGTGCGCCACTCTCCACCATACAAACAAAGAGGGGTCTCGAGTCACCCAAAGACGGGTTATTGCAGTTCGGGGGCGGCCTTTTCCTTAACGTCGGCACTGAAGGGCCCTACTGCTGCAAACGCTCCGTACAGACCCAAAGCACATATCGGGAGGCGGAGTCCGGACAGACTCGGGTGTGAGGCTCCGCTACGCGGCGAAGTCACGGCAGGGTTATGGCAAGTCACCTCCCCTATAGTGTCTATGAATCCTCGTCTGAAAGATGAGGGGCTGGATGAGGAATGGGCAGGCCAGCCGGGCTGAGGTTTGCAAATCATCCTTCAAAGACCTTGGGAGCCAGGCCCCTGGAACGTCTTCTCCCTTCCCGGTCCCCGACCCCACAATAATCAAGCGTCCCCTCTGCCAGTTCTCATCCTCTCTGGACAAAAAGCGAAACAAGCCCTTTCCTTCACCTGCGAGTCCCAGCCCTCTACAGAGGCTGGAAAAGTCCGGAAGCCTTGAGTTCCGGCGCCGAGGCGTCCCGAGACAGTCCCTGGCCTCTCCCGGGCTCAGTCTCCCCGTCGGCGCGCGCAGAGGAGGCCGGCCCGGGGGCTCTCCAAGCACCCTCCCCGCTCTGACGTTTGGGGCTCCCGCGCGCCGCCACAGCTGCTCCTACCTGGGGAGGTGCGCCGGGGCCCAGGGGGCGGGCAGTCGGGGGGCGGGCAGGGAACGGGCGCCGCCCCAAGTTTCCTGGCCCCTTTAAGGAGAAGCCGGTGAAGGGAGGAGCCGGTCCGGGTTTGTGCAGGGGAGAGCCTCGCCAGCGGTCTCGGCGGTGGAGGCCAACGCTGCGGGGAGAGCGTCGCCGGCCGCCCCGCCAGCCCCGCGCCGCCACCTCGACGCCAGCGGCTCGCCCCTTGCCCTCCTCGCCATCCGCAGCCTGGAGCGCAAGGGCGCAGCCTAGGCGACCCCCATCAGTGCACACGCCGCCACTCATTGCCCCTTCTTCAGGCCTTCGGCCCGAAGTACGACCTCGACGGCTATCCTCAAATCAGCGGGAAACCCATCAGCTGCAGGCGCCCCAGCTCCAGGACCACTTCCAGACCCCTTGACCTCCTGCCACCAGCGCGGAAAGGACCCTTGCGCCCGCGAGGGGGGCCTAGACCTGGTCCCAACACCACTGCCGGCGCCTGGCCTCGAGCTCCAGAACACGAGCAGAGCCGTCAGTGGGCGGGACACTCCTGGGCCTCTGTCCCCACCGAGCCAGTCCGGAAACCGCGGGTGCCAAGCCTCCAGCGTGCCCCTGCTGGGGAAGCTGTGCTCCAGGTGCGAGCCCGCGAGGACCCTTGGACAGCTCCGCAGAGGGGCCCAGCGTCCGTTCCCGAGCCCCTGCGTACCGAGCCCCGCAGTTCTCAGACCCGCCCTCGATCCTCGACTGAAGCGGGCGGCGGGGACGCGGGACGGCTGCACCATGACTGCCGAAAGCGGGCCGCCGCCGCCGCCGCCGCAGCCGGAAGCCCTGGCGGCCGTGAAGGAGGAACGCGGTGAGGCTGGGGCTGGGGTCCCGGCCGAGGCAGCGGGACGCAGCGGGGGTGGGCGGCGGCGCAAGCGCCCCCTGCAGCGCGGGAAGCCGCCCTACAGCTACATTGCTCTCATCGCCATGGCCATCGCGCACGCGCCGGAGCGCCGCCTCACGCTTGGCGGCATCTACAAGTTCATCACCGAGCGCTTCCCCTTCTACCGCGACAACCCCAAAAAGTGGCAGAACAGCATCCGCCACAACCTCACGCTCAATGACTGCTTCCTCAAGATCCCCCGCGAGGCCGGTCGCCCGGGCAAAGGCAACTACTGGGCTCTCGACCCCAACGCCGAGGACATGTTCGAGAGCGGCAGCTTCCTGCGCCGCCGCAAGCGCTTCAAGCGCTCGGACCTCTCCACTTACCCAGCCTACATGCACGACGCCGCCGCCGCCGCTGCCGCCGCCGCCGCAGCCGCCGCCGCCGCCATCTTCCCGGGCGCGGTGCCCGCCGCGCGCCCGCCTTACCCGGGTGCCGTCTACGCGGGTTATGCCCCGCCGTCGCTCGCCGCGCCGCCCCCGGTCTACTACCCCGCTGCGTCGCCGGGCCCCTGCCGTGTCTTCGGCCTGGTGCCCGAGCGGCCGCTCAGCCCGGAGCTCGGCCCCGCGTCGTCGGGACCCGCCGGCTCCTGCGCCTTTGCCTCGGCCAGCGCCTCTGCCACGACCACCGGCTACCAGCCCGCGGGCTGCGCAGGAGCCCGACCAGCCAACCCCTCCGCCTATGCGGCTGCCTACGCGGGCCAGGACGGCTCTTACCCGCAAGGGGCCAGCAGTGCCCTCTTCGCAGCTGCTGGCCGGTTGGCGGGGCCCGCGTCGCCCCCCTCAGGTGGCAGCAGTGGCGGCGTCGAGACCGCAGTGGACTTCTATGGGCGCACGTCCCCCGGCCAGTTCGGAGCGCTGGGGCCCTGCTACAATCCTGGTGGGCAGCTCGGAGGGGGCAGTGCAGGTGCCTACCATGCTCGCCATGTGGCCGCCTATCCTGGCGGGGTAGATCGCTTCGTGTCTGCCATGTGAGCCGAGCATACCATTGAAACTTCATAGGTGCCTTGGCAGTTTACACAAAGTATCCCCGAGACCTGAGGACAGGACTGGAGAGAGGGCCGAACTGCGAACCACATAGAAGGGACCGTGGGCAGGAGAGGCGCAGCCTCCGAGTGCATTGAGTACACCCCTGGTTTACTTCATTAATAGGAGGAGGAAGTGGGAAAGACAGCCTCAGCCCACGGACCGGGGGAAAAAGTACCCTCAATCAGGTGAAGCACTAAAGGTCATGCCTTTCAGGTGGCGCAGCGTAGTGTCTACACCAGACGCTAGGATCCGAGTTGTGGGGAATCTCGACTTCACTCTTCCCTGTACTGCGCGAAATTCGGGCCTTTTTACACGGGTTCAGCCTCTTGTGCCTTTGACTACGTTGCTGCAATAAAAGGCTCCCATAGTGCCTTCCTTTGTAAGGTGAGGAAGACAAGTTTGCAAAAGAAGTAGCTTTTTGTTGTTTTCTTTTGTTTTTTTTTAAATGGGGGAAATCGCTCTGCTTCTCTTGGCCTGGCGCTGGTTTTACCTGCCTCTGAGACTGGCATACCTGGCTGCGTGGTTCCAGACTGTGCCTCAGCTCTACAGTGTGACGCCGTTCCATCACCTACATCCCCAGTCTCCCCATTTGTTATACAGGAGGGCTGCGGGATTCATATGATCTTTCAGAGCCCTGGATGCTGCCCGTGTATTATTTGGTAGTATCCGTGGGCCACCCAGGGCCTAAACTAACCCTATTCCAGGACACTAAAACAGAGCTCATTGCAAGCATCTATTCCAAAGTCTCTGGATTAGCTCCAGGCATTGATTGTATCAAAATTTCTTGAATCTTTTGAGCATGATGTGCTGATCATTTGGCACCTGTTTTCATCTGGGTCCTAAGTGTGTTTTTCCAATGAGGCAGATAGAAGTACCTTTGTCCATTGTCCACTCTTTCTTTTCATCAAGCAGCCCTGGACCCGGTGGCTGAACTAAAATTCAGAGATGACAAGGATTCACGGGGGAGCCCACTGGTGACTGCTTTTAGTTTCTGGGGTTGGCTCTTCTTTCCCTGGCACCCGCTGCCATACCTCAGCAGCCTCCTCATGCAAAAACGAAAGTGAAAAATGAATTGCAGGGGTCAGCGAAGTAAGCTTTAGAAAGAAACTGGATTTTAAACTTTGCTTTGTATCAGCTTGTTTGTTTTAAGCAGCAAGCTAACCAAAATCAGAAAATCCATTAACTTTCCCACCTTTCTCTTAAGACATCTTGTAGGTTTCTGTTCTGGAGCAAAAATATCTAGTGCTAAATATTTCAGAGGCTTGGGCACAGCGTTCAGATGAACTGTTTTAATTAAAAAAGGAATCTTAGAGCAAGTGAATTCTGGCAAGAGAAATGCAGCCTCTTTCTACACAGTTACCTTGCTAAGGAAGAGTGGGGGATGTTTGGGAAAGAAGACTGAAAATACTGGTACTTCTTTTAATTTTGGAGGTTGTACTGTCCTGTTCACAAAACATGAATGTGATTCAGTCCAGGCGGGTATTAGTCTAATTCAGTGTTGTCCAATAGGAATAGAATGCAAGACACATGTGTAATTTAAGTTTTTCTAGTAGTCACACCAATAAAATGAAGCAAGTCAGATTAAGTAATAATATTTTGTATTTGACCCAATATATCTAAACTATCATTTTAACAAACAGTATAAAAGTTATGAAGATGTTTCACTTTTTTCACACTAAGTCTCCCCAATCTGGAGTGTATTTTATACTTACCACGCATCTGAATTTGGACTCGCCGCGTGCCAAGGGCTGGGCAGCAGTGAGTGGCTGATGCCTTGTGTGCTGGACGGTACAGGCCTAGTAGATGCTGCTCCTTCCTGACTTGGGTGGCGGTGAATGGCTGCCTGGAGGCAGGAGGCGGCTGCCACACTGACTCTGTGGCCAGTGGGTTCGGGTTCCAGTCCTAGCCAGTGACCTTGGAAAGGTCTGGTGTTGGGCATTAACTCCATTTGGACCCTTGCTGGTCTGACGTTCAAAGGTTCTCCATGCGCTGCTAGAAACTCTGGCTCTCCCAGGAGGCAGTCCCAATGGCTTGCCTCGTTGGCAGTCGCTGGAAATTGAGAGCCCTCCCCCCAGGGATTTTGTCCTTGGCCAGCAACAGCCCAGTCAGGGGATTTGGGCTGGAAAAACATGGTCTATGTGTGCATTCTGTTAGTACAGGAGTGTAAACTTTCTCTGCTTCTTAATTACCAAGTTGAGTGTTTTGACGGCGCCATTAACCTTAAGCCAGTCCCTTCTCCTCTGCTGTCCCCACTTGTGACTGGGAATGTGTGACCCCTACCTTACAGAGACCTCCTGCAGTTAAACAAGACGAGAGAGGGGGAAGACCTCTTTGTAAACTGTAAAGCGCTGGGCCCAGGAGAGAGGAAAGGCTTCAAAATTTACAAGCGCCGCCTTAACCCTAAGCCTTCTGGAGCATCACGTTACAGTTCCCAGAACGATAGAGATAGGGTGGGACAGTGCGCGGATCTTTGTCCCCCAAGCTCCTTGTCAACTAGGACGACAGGTGAGCCAAAAGCAGGGTCTGTGCCCAGAAAGAGAGGACGCGGCTAGAAGGGAGCTGGGTGTGTACTGCGGGCGCTGGGAGAGACCAGGGGACCGGCGAGGGTTGGGATCAAGACGTCAGCCCTCTCGACCTCCCGCCCCGCCGGCCAGAGACACCCAGAGCTCCGGTGCCCCCAGTGCCTGGCTGGAATGGAAGCTGCGCTGGCGAGCGAGTACCCCCCCGCCCCGCCCCGGCTTCCGCCACCGCCGGAGGCGAGGGCGGTTGAGGGGGCGGGCGGCGCGGGCAGACCCTTCAGTGCCGTGACTGTAGGATCTTGAGAACATTTCACTGCAGTGTCTTGGAACATTCCAACTCCAAGAACCCCCAAACCGTGGAACAGGATCTCCCGGCTCCCCATCTGGGGGCTTAAGGACTGGAGGTGAGTTTCTCTGAATTTTTTTCTCCTACTTCCTATTACGAAGCCAGAAAAATCGTTCGCCCCCCTCTGGGCCCTGCACCCCAGCGTCGTGTGAAGGCGCCCCCGGGCCCTGGATAATTAGATGCGTTCTTCCCTAATTGCCCAAGGCTCATTAGACTTCGCCCCAGAGCTGTAACATTTACTTTCTTTCAAATTAACTTAGGTTGCAATTAAGCTTAGGAAACCAGCAACAAAAGCAGAATTGGCTCGAGGAGGTCGTTTACTACGAAAACGGATTAGGGAGACTTCTTACCAGTTTAAGGGAAAAGATTCCAGTGGAGACAGCAGAGGTGAAACGAAGCAGGAAGCCGCTCGCGGGCGGTTGATGGTGAAATTGTTGGCACTCCTCCTCATCCTGGTGATTCGTGTGCCCAGAAGAGTGAGGGTAGCTTTATTGAACTGAATTCGGGCCCTTTGAGCTGAACTAAATAAACACTCATGACATGAAGCAGCTGCTATGTAGTTACAGTTTACTCAGCATATTCATAAACATAGTCTCGTTTACCTTGTGAGAATTTTCTTTCATTAAAATTAATTTTCTTCTTAATACAAAATCGGCCACCTTCATTTACTTTTTAAAAAGAAAGGAAAAAAAAAATCAAAGGAACCTAGAGTTTACCCAGAGAAAGCACAGCAAACACCTCAGTGAATATTTTTTTTCTAATTTTTGTCGTTCCTGTGTAGGAGTCCTGAGTCAGAGCTTGGTCACTGAAATGCCGTGAGATCTTATTTTGAAAATGCATTTTTTTAAAAATTTTTCCATCACAGTTGAAATGCTGTGAGATCTTGAACAAGTTTCTTTCTGCCCTGTCTAGGCCTCGGGTCCCCTTTCCCCCTCATGTTCTCTAATGCCTCTTGTCTTGGTCGTTTGCCTCCAGGATGCACTTCTCCGAGGCCCAGGAGAGCGGCTTGGAGAGGGGCTTAGAGCTGAGGTGTGCCCTACCAGCCACTTTGCACCAGAGACGAGGCTCCGAGGCCTTGAGGCTCTAAGTGTGGGCCATAGACCAGCTGCACGTGCATCCCCTAAGAACTGGCTAGAAATGCAGAATCTGAGGCCCTCCCCCCAATCTCCTGGATCAGAACCTGCATTTCAACAAGCGCCCCAGGTGATGCATATGCCCTAAGCAAAGAGGCAGAACTTTAACCAGAACCTGGATGGGTGGGTAGGTTATGTTGCTGAGATCAGGGATCCAGAATAACTCCCAGGAGCCTCCTGTTTCTGACCAACTACCCCAGTGCAGTGCTGCCTTGTGGCTCCATCCGCAGAGAGGCAAGAGGGGGTCGGGACTGGGGTGGAGCACTTCACCTCCTGCTTGAGGTGTCCTTTCTGAGTCTGGGAATCCTACACCTCATATTCCCAGCGTCACTGTGACTGTGACAATGACAATTATTGAGGGTGTATCTGAAAGCATCTTGAAAGCTGGAGTGTCAGAGCCAGGGCAGGAACCCAAGCTCCTGAGTCACTTTGGGGACCTGGGGTTCTGATCTTCCTATCGTCTCTAAGCAGCAATATTTGCCTGAGCATGGAATAAACTTGGCCTGTGGTCCTTAAGCTCCAGTCCCAAATCTGGGGTAGTTTAGGAGAAAAATAAAGCTCCCTTCTCATAGCACAATAGCCAGCCAGAAAGGTCCCCATCTCCGAGTCCACCTGGGCTGAAGGATCCGCCAGGAGAGCACTTTAAGTGCCCTTTGGACAGCCCAAAATCCTGGGCGCCCCAACAAATCCTCCCCTGCCCCCAGTACACACACCTTCCTGCAGGACTTGGTTTCTGTGCTCATTCTGTCCCTGAGGAGTGCTGACTCCTTGGCATAACAAGGTAACTGGGAGGGAAAAAAATGTCCCTGATTAAAAGCAGTTCAGACAGGGGACATGCACCACGGAGGATGAGGCCAGAGCCCAGATTGGGAAAGCATTCCTCCCAGAATCACACAGCAACTCACTGGGAGAACCAGGACGCTCATCTCAGGGCTCACATGAGTTCTCAATAGTAAGAATAAACAGGAATATCATGAGCGTGTACCTAGAGCTCCTGTAGAGCTAACGAAGCACATGTGACTTACCCACGCTCCCACAGCTAAGTGCCCAAGCAGGGCAAGAACCTATGCCTCCCCCCAAGAGAGACTGCATTTGATTATCATCTTAATAAAAGGCAAGG